AGCAGACTACTATGTACCGAATGTGCCATTCACTGGGCGCATCAATGGGTTGAGAAACATTGCTCAAGTTTGAAGATTGGATAAATAAAAGATTTTTTTACTTATAATACTTTGTATATTTTGAAGCTAACAACTACTGAACAAAAGATAATTAAATGGTATCAGATGAAACAGCCACATGACCAAGATTAATCATAGAGTGGTTGCACCGCGTAGTAGTACGCAACAACAAACAACACAAAACATATTTCGATTGCCAACATAATGCATGAACGAATTCCCCAAACACGTATTGTGTGGTCTTTGTAGAATAGACTGTAAATTGCTATGCCGATAAAGGTCAATGGGATAATGAACCCTGCCAAGAAAAAGGCGATGATAACGGGGTGTTCAATTGAATCATCATCTACCCCCGTTTCCACTTTATTAGTCTGTTTTGGTGAAACAAATTGAACGTCTTGTGTGTCAAGTGGTTTATACTCCATGACAAGAGAAATGTTTTTGAGTTTTCTTATTTTAAAATATGTAGTTTGGATTCGTATGGAAATATATATTATTATAATCTAATTATAATTAAAAATAGATTTTAATTGTAATTCAAACAATAAAATTAAGTATGAGAAATAAATGCAATTACATGTATTAGTCAAAAACCCCACTCATCCCAATCGGCTTGACATAAAACACTCATCTCAGTCTCATTACAGAGACCTCCTATCATACAAACTGTAATACCTATGTCGTGACACGACACTTTGTCTTTGTAGCACGGAATTCGCATAATTAGTCCCCCGTTCTCCCCAGAATTTGCAACAGGATCTCTTTCTGGAATGATTCCCCTGGAAGTCACGGTGAGTTCTTGCTTGGTCAGCCCAAGGCTTTTGCGGCCATAAAAAATGCCAGGCGGTGAAACACCAAAACTGTTGAGACCAACCAGTGCACCAACAATGTTTGCAATCCCCCCTCCCAACGAATGCCCAGCTAGAACCACTTTGGTTTGCGGACCAACCTCTTTTTGTAATTTCACTACAACGTCTTTGGCAATATCAATGAGATACAACGAACCACGTGGGAAAGCTCTGGAACCAAAATATGACAATGCGTAACTGATCCAAGAGAGGACTTGGTCGGTGAACATGGGAAATATTGTAGTAGATAAAGAGGGTATAATTGACTCGACAAAGAGTTGCAAATCATGAACACAGTCGTCAAGTGAATACGTTCCTCGGAAACTCACAACAACAACTCCGCTTTTTGAATTTGTCGCCACAAGATAGTGCAGAACGTCTGCTTCCAAATGGTACTCAAGAGACCACCCTCTTTCTTTTAAGAATCCATAAATAGTTGCATACGTCGTGTTCGCAGGAATTATGTTGTTATCGTGGTACGCCATGTAACTCAAAAAACTATATTCATTTGGTGTTATACCATATGCATCACTGCTACATAGATGTGAGTATTCAATTGCGTAATTTGTCGCAGTTCCTTTTGAATTTTCTTTTAATCCAACATTCATCCAATCACCCCACAAAATAGTTTCCGTCCGGAATTTAGCAAAAGCGGTGTTCTTGTCTGGTAAATTGGAGTTTTCTGATGGTGACGTTTTCAAAAGCGACGATAACGTCGACGTTTCAAACACTACAAGTAACAAGAGAATACCACAAAACACCTCCACTAAGAAAGCGGAGTGCTTAAATTCAAAACCACAGATCCGCTGCCTGACTTGTTCAAACACATCAAAATAAGAAGTTGGGATATACTCCTCTGGAGGTTTTTCAACACCCATCACAAAGTCCAAATCTTCGTCTTGGTTCATAAGCACAATATATTCTTCTTGTTCTTTTTTGTCCTCTTTTTGTTGAATTTTTAAATCTTCTGTTGCTGGAATAAGTCCAGTGATCATTGCGATGATAAATAATAGCCAATAACATACCATTGTTGTGTTATACTTCGCCGAATCTACAGTCACCATAATCAACGAGAAAAGGAAAACCAATACAAATGCGACCAACATAAAGGTGACAACCCACAACACAACGACTCTGAAAATAGGTTTGATGCGCTTTGGATGATCCAACACCTTCCCGAAAAACCAAAAAACAAAACTGCAAGGAAGACAGAGAGGAACAACTCTAAGCCAATTAACTTTGCCTTTTTCTTTGTACGTTTTGATGACCTCAAAGATAAAATCGACAACAATAACCGCGACAAAATAAAATGTAAGTGATACCCACCCAAAGAGTAAGTAAGTGTAACCAATCGTATTGATTAAGATCGTTGTATAAAAGGCTTTAGTGATGATTGCAGTAAGTATCACAACAAAAGCTATATTGAAAATAAGAAGATTAAAGTTGTCTGTAATGACTAAGACTATCCTGGCTATGACTGAAATGACACCATTCATCTGTGGAAGTTTATATGATCGGATCAAACGAACTAATGCCGCTGATGCGTTTTTCCGATTCTCTGGGACTAACTTCATTTTCCATATAGAGTATTGTTCAAGCGTTTTCGAGAAATATTCCACCGAAAATAGGAAGTATCTGTACAACAGTATAACACTCAAAAAGAACCCGTATATCAAAAGAATAATGTAGTAAGATTCAGAGAAGAGGTATGACACAGATGTGATAAATATGACACAAATCCCAAATAACATGACTGTTGTGAAAAAAAGGAGTTGGAACAATACAGCAATAGAAATTGAATAGGCCAAGTTGTTCAACTCGAAAAATAAGCTGCTGCCCATGTTGACTAGACTGTTGAAAAAGGCCATACTTTTTTAGTTCAGTTCAG